TGAGGGAGTACGTGAAGCAATTCTCGTCTCTGATGCTTGACATCAAAAATATGTCAGAGGAAGACAAACTGTTCAACTTTATGTCTGGTCTCCAAACTTAGGCATAGGCAGAACTTCGTCGGCAAGGGGTAAAGGACTTACCTGCTGCTATGTCCGCAGCAGATGCGTTGGTTGACTACAAAACACAGGCTAACCCTCCAGAGAAGGAGTTGAAAGGGAAAGCCAAGTTCCCTAAGAAGGACAAGTAGAAGAAAAAGGCTGAGAAGTTTGGCAATTCAGAAAAATCGACTTACAAAGCCTCTTCATCAAAGGGAGGTGCTGACTCATACTGTTTTATCTGTAATAGCCATCATCGTGCCAGAAATTGCCCCAAGAAGAAAAAGGTTAGTGCCCTCATGACTGAGGAAACTGACTGTAACCAACACGAGACAACCCATTACAACTCTTTAATGCAATTCTCAAAGAGGAGACAGTGGAAAAGAGGGGGTTGATGTTTGTGCAGATTCGCCTGAACAATGTGACTGTCCAGGCAATGGTTGATACAGGTGCAACCCATAATTTTGTTTCTGATCGGGAAGTACAGCAGCTTGGTCTGGCTTTGGTGAAAGATTCTAGCCAGATTAAAGTTGTGAATTCAGAGGCAAAACCAGTAGGCGACGTCGCAAGAGAAGTCCCTTTAAAAGTTGGTGATTGGTAAGGATCATGTGATTTTATGGCAGTCCCTCTCGATGATTTTCAGGTAATCCTTGGATTTCAATTCCTTACAAAGGCAAAGGTGTCTGTTATGCCGCATTTACATGGGATATTCGTGATGGACATGCCCAATCCCTGCTTTGTTCCCTTCACTATGGTCAAGTCTTCGGGGGAAATGTTGTCTGCCTTGTAAGTAAAAGATGGCTTGCGAAAGGGGGGAAGCAACATACTTGGTTGTTCTATTTGAGAAAAAGGAATCCAAAGCATTGTAAGTCCCTGAACCAGTGCAACAATTGTTGGTTGAGTTCAAGGACGTGGCACCTAAAGAATTGCCAGCAAGGTTACTGCCAAGACGGGAGATTGATCATGCCATTGAGTTGATTCCAGGGGTAAAAATCTCTGCCCAGGCTCCTTATCGAATGTCTCCATCAGAGTTGGCGTAGCTAAGGAGACAGCTTGGGGGTTTATTGGACATTGGGTTCATTCAACCTTCCAAGGTACCCTATGGAGCCCCTGTTCTGTTTCAGAAAAAGAATGATGGATCCTTACGGCTTTGTGTAGACTACAGAGCGCTCAACAAAGTCACTGTCAAGAACAATTATCCAGTGCCGTTTGTCGACGAACTATTTGATAGATTGGGAAAGGGGGTTTTCTTCATCAAGATGAATTTACGGCTGGGATATCATCAAGTCAGAATTGTAGAGGGAGATGAGGCGAAGACTGCTTGTGTGACAAGGTACGGATCATATGAGCTTTTAGTTATGCCTTTCGGCTTAACCAATGCGCCTGCTACATTCTGTAACTTGATGACCAATGTATTTCGGGAATACTTGGACCGTTTCAGGGTGATTTATTTGGATGACATAGTTGTTTATAGCCAGACTCTTGAGGAGCATGTTGAGCATCTTAGGTTGGCCTTGACAAAGTTAAGAAAAGTCCAGTTGTATCTGAAACCAGAAAAATGTGAGTTTGCCCAGAAGAAAATTTCATTCCTTAGGCATAATATTTCTGCGGGCGTGATGAAGATGGACCCGAAGAAAGTTAAGGTCATTGCAGATTGGCCTGTCCCTACTAAGTTTACTGAACTGCGTTCTTTATTTGGTTTGGCAAACTATTATAGGAAATTCGTGAAGAATTATTCAAAGAAGGTCGCAGTGCTGACTGATCTTCTAAGAAATGATAGGACATGGAACTGGTCCTACGAATGCCAGGAGGCATTCAATCGATTGAAGGCGGTGGTGACATCTAGCCCAATTTTACGCTTACCTGACTTCGATTTGTCTTTTGAAGTCCATACAGACGCATCAGACTTTGCTCTTGGAGGGGTGCTGGTGCAGAATGGGCATCTGGTGGCATTTGAAAGTAGGAAACTGAATGATACCGAGAGGCGGTATTCAGTATATGAGAAGGAGATGACAGCAGTCATTCACTGCATCAATGCATGGAGGCATTACTTGTTGGGGAAGCATTTCCTTGTGCTGACAAATAATGTGGCTACCAGCTGTTTCAATTCCATGAAGAAGCTGACACCAAAACAAGCAAGATGGCAGGACTTTCTTGCCCAGTTTCATTTCACGTTGCAGTACAAGTCTGGCAGTGCAAATCAGGTTGCTGATGCTCTTAGTCGAATCCCAGTTGTTGATGGGACGGTTGCTGCACTTAGCCAGATTGCAGGAGACATACTGCAAAGAATTCAGGATCAGACAAAAGATGATCCAGTAACCAGCTTATTATTGAAGCAGGTCCATAAAGGGGTGATTCGGCGATTTTGGGTAGAGGATGGTGTTCTCTACGCCAAAGGAAGAAGACCCTATGTGCCGAAGTCAGGCGGACTTCGACAAATGTTGCTGAAAGAAATCCAGGGTAGCAACGAACTCTTGCCTTGCTAGCAGAAAGCTATTATTAGCCCCGCATGGAAGCAGATGTGAAGTTGTATGTGCGCACTTGTTTGGTGTGCCAGCAAGATAAGACAGAGAGGAAAAAGGTGGCTGGTACTTTGGAACCCCTCCCTATTCCAAGCAGACCTTAAGAGAGTGTTTCCATGGATTTCATCAATGGCTTGCCTCAGGTGAACGATTTTACTTCGATATTTGTGGTTGTAGATAGATTTTCGAAGTATGCCACTTTCATTGCTGCCCCAAAAGTATGTACGGCGGAAGTTACTGCTCAGTTGTTCCTCAAGCATATTGTGAAGCTTTAGGGTCTTCCGCTGGACATAGTCAGCGACAGGGACACTAGATTTACTGGCCGGTTCTAGACGACTTTATTTGAATTGTTGGGCACACAGCTCAACCTTTCCACCAGCAATCATTCGCAGACAGATGGACAGACTAAGTAGGTTAATGCAATGCTGGAGGAATATCTCAGACACTATGTCACAGTGAACCAAGACAATTGGGTGAATTTACTTGATGTAGCCCAATTCAGTTATAACCTCCAACAGAGCTCTTCCATTGAAATGAGCCCATTTGAGTTAACAACTAGCCAACAGCCTCTTACCCCGCATGAAGTTGTCAAGCAGAAGTCTCAAGGGAGATGTCCTACAGCATACCGCTTTGCTCGGGTCAATCAAGAGTGGACCGACGAGACAAAAGACTGTTTAACTAAGGCGGTGAAGAGGATGAAAAAGTGGGCAGACGAGAAAAGGAGGGCAGTAGAGTTCGAAGTGGGTGACAAAGTGATGTTGAAATTAACCCTACCAATCTGGAACAAGATCTCTCGAAAGTCGGCACACAAGGGACTAATCCAGCGCTATGACGGCCCTTTCCTTATAACAATGAGGATTGGCAGGTTGGCCTATAGGCTGGATCTTCCTAGTTGTCTCAAGCTTCATCCAATTTTTCATTTTGCCTTCTTGAAGTCTTATATTGAGGACCCGGAGGACCCTAAAAGATATGTTTGGCGTCGAACTCCTCTAACAATCAGGAAGCAATTCACAGAAATAGCTAAAGATATCTTTGAACACAAGATTGAGGGAATGAGCAAGAAAAACAGAAGAACTCATTACCTGGTCAAGTGGAAAGGGAAAGCACCGGAGAAAGCCACTTGAGAGAAAGAGACGACATTGTGGCAGTTCGAGGATCTCATCAAGCAATACCATGCCTCCATTCCAACGAGGTCGTTGGATACTTCAAGTGGGGGTGACTTGTCACACCTTAACTGACTTTGGTGCAAATGGCCGATCTTTGTGGCACCTTACAGCATGGTATGCCATTAGTTAGAATCAAGGTGATGCGGCTAAGTGGTTCGATAGATTAGGGCGAACCAAGGCAGTATGAGAACATTCGGTTGAGCATGGCAACACGTGGTGGACTCAATTGAAGCAATGTGGGTGCATAGCTTCGGATTGCATGGCATGGGTTGAACCCAGCATGCACATTGGTTCGTGTAGCCAGGCTGACTGCTAAATGTGGGCACTTGACTAACACATGGCTGCTGAATGTGGGCACTTGATTGACACATAACTGTTCAATGCATGTGACCAGGAGGATGTGGGCGGTTATGATGCTAAGACACAATTAAGACAGTTGCTGAGGCAGTTCTGGACGTCCCTAGTCTGAATCAAGTCTAGATGTATGCTGATGAAGGACAGTTCCACAACAATTACTGGAAGTGGTAGAATTGTCTGTCAGATGTCGCACGGAAACCAAGCCTGCTAGCCAGTATACTATAGAATAGCAAAAAAATGTGTAACTACCCCTTGACAAATGGGGATGTCATCTACCTTACTCCTGTATAAATAGAGGTGCTTAAGCATTCTGATGAGGTAGAGAGTGTTCTGACTTTGAGAGTCCTTGTAAATTATTGAGTTCAATATATAAGATTTAGAGTTCTGTCCCAATAAACTCTGTGTGTGCATTCTGTGTAAATTTTTGTCCCTTATTCTTGAGTTTGAGTGTGGCTGATTGTTGTAGTAACGCCTTCACAGATAAGCTCGAAAGAAAAATAAAAGTTACCCTGTGACACTGACTAACAATTGCCTGTGACACTGACTAACCATTGACATTAACGCCACCAAAAGGCCAGATCAAGATGATATGATCCATGGTCATAGTTGGTTTTTCCTCGATCGTTGTCCCCTTAAATCCTGATAAAAACGGAGAAGACAACAAATACAAAGGGAAAATCAAGGAGGCTGAGAATATAAATATCCAAGAGCACAAAAACATCCAGAGGACCAAATAGCATGTTACAAGTACAAGGGTTTACTGAATAAAAAACTCCACAAATTCGTTCACATAAAATGCACAAAACAAACACAACAGCAGGTTGCTGGTCCTAATAGGATGATACCCGGCCTATATCTCTCAGCTTTCACTCCTTTTGGGCTTGTCAGAGGCGAAATTCATCTGAAACAAAGCAATCATGTTCAAGAGTTAGACCTGTTTTTATCCATGGTGGAAAAGTTGAGGTTAAATCCCTTATGAAGCAAGCATTCAAGTGTTACCATATCAGCAGCAGCAGGAATCCAGTCATTAGTTGCTGGGTTCCCCTTGCACGAGGCGTGGCAGCAAGTTTCAGAATCGGGTGCAAGTCTTAAGGACTCGCCATTGGTGTTCTCTGCTTTGATGAAACCTGTTCCTGTCTGGAATGAATATGCAATGAATCATAACATCAGATCTTATAGTAATGAATAATAACATGAAATCTGAAAGTAATTCTTGATTCCTGTTTTGAGGTCTAGTACTGGATAACAAAAGTCTATGTGCAGCCGTTGGCCTATCCAACTTACGCATACTTTGGTTCGAGTTAGAGATATGATGGTCCTGTCTTCAAATCCAAATCCAACCCCAGCTCCAGCCTATTCTGTATTGACCATGAACACAAACACGCACCTGAAATCTACTGCTTGACACTAGATTCCACCTCCTCCAATGGAAAGACTAGAGTCATCCAAAAATTCTACCCATCTCTTGGCAGAGACATTAGAAATCCAAAACCTAGTTCTGACTTCTGAATCTAAAACTGCTGGTGGTGGTGGTGGTGTGGCATAGAGTGGGGGTTTGTGTTGCACATTGTCAACAATGAATTGCCAGTGCCCTGTTCACTGGTCTGATCTCTTTCCACTGGAGATCGGTGATGTTTTAGTTGCTTATAAAATATAAATAGAGGATTCTACAACTTTAAGGTTATGACTCCATCAAATATGTTATTTCTTTTTCTTTCTTTCTTTATTTTTTTCTTTGGGTTGTGATAGTTGTGGTGATTGGTGGTGGTCATGGGGGTGGATGATGGTGTTGTGATTGTGATCATGGTGGACAGTAGTACTTCTGGTCATGGAAAAGGATTGCACTCTGGAAGAAGATGGGACAGAGAGAGGGAGAAAAGACAAATAATGATAATTAACTCGAAAATCTTTGAACAACTTATGTGCAAATACATTCATTATTATAGTCCTCATAATTTACCACTAATACTGGTGTCAGATAGAGCAGTGTGGCCAGAGGACTTATATTTCTTTTCTCTTTTGCTTGGTCATTAATGTTTAGAAAAGTTGGGCGGCACCATCAGAATAATACCGTGTGGTGTTGCTTGTCAATGCCGTTGAGATCCTTGTAGTATTCTGTTTCCACAAACTCCTCTGCCACTTCACTTCCATTATAAACCAGTTTCTGCAATAGAGATAGTGGCGGAAAAACAAAAATAAAGGAAAGCAAAAGAGAAAAGGAGCCACAAGTGAAGGTATCATAAATTAGACAAAGAATAATACAAAGGATCAATCAGCAAACAAGAAGGAAACAAAGGAAATCTAAAGTTTACTAATAGACTTGGAGAAGGCAGGTACAAAAGAGTGAATACTATTAGATTTGAAAGTTGCATATCAAAACAAGCCCTGTGTTTAGATTGAAAGGTTTTCAGCAAAATCTATTTGAAAACAGCTCAAGTCATTAACAACCGATGGATTCCAAGCAGTGAAGAATGTTTGTAACTTTGAGCCAAATTTATGGATGTTAAGTCGTTCAATTTAAAATAAGAACTTTGGAGTGCATCAATTATTTAAATCAATGGAAGCTTAATAAAATCCAATTGTAAATTATAATGGCATCCCCAAATTTTGTCATAATCATAAAGAGACTCCTCGGGGTTTTGCATGCTTTAAGAAGCAATCGTTCGATACCAACAAAAGTTAAGTTCTATATTTCACATTTAACCCTATTTCTATTGATTTTTAAAGTTTTTGATCAAAAGGTATAAATGATCATGCCATTGATGACTTACGCTAAAAATTTTGATACAAGATACTTCATGTATCTGTGAATGTATTGCCACCAAATTTCATCAAATGTCAAAGAATATCAATGTAATTCACCAAAATGTATTTGCTGGAACAAAATGCTTTCCATTGGCAGTCACAAATAGAGAAGATTCACACTTTTGTTAGCACACTTGATGTATAGAATAAAGAAATTAAAATAATTGCTTGAAGTTGATATATGATATGAGCCACCCTGAAGATGATTTGAATGAAGACAGATCGCAAACCAAGCACGAGTAAGGCAATACAGATTTTCTACAGTACCTTTTCGGTATCCTTTTGGAAATTACGTTCTATTCAGGTGAAATTACGATTTAGCTATTCAAAAACCTTCAAACCCATCCCAATTCTTGAAGAATCGACCCTAACTTTTCAGGATCCCAAAATTTACGATCTCATTACATTGTGATTTTGATTGAATTGAATTGTAAATTGATCAAACTGGATAGATGTTTATCGCAACCTTCACCGATACACAATCGAATACGTAGATTTTTTCCAAAGCAAGTGACAAGAACATGTACCTGGGAAACATTTTCAAGACGCTGAAACTCAGCATATTCCGGAGTGACGCCATTGTCATCACCATTGGAGAGAACATCAGTGTAATTAGAAGAGTACTCGCTGCGCTGAGGCTTAGTGTGACGTCTCGGTGCTAAGCCATTGAAGTGCTCTCTCGTCTCCCCCTCGATCTTTGCCTCTTCCTCCTTCGACAAATGAACGTCGCTCCGGTTCGGCCTCCTGCAACACTCCATCTCTCTCTCTCTCTCTCTGTAATCTCTCTAATGGCACGGATTGGGAATCGTTCGCGTAATATAGAGAGAGAGAGAGAGATTTGTGGTGTAGTTTTTCCAGGTGGAGCAAAATATCTCAAGAGGCTTATCCTTCCATGATAATGGTGGTTGGAGCGAGTCTCTTTCTAGGGAAAAAATATTCATTACACTACCACGTCACTGATCAATAATATATAAATAAATAAAAGAGACTTCGTAAGTTAATAACTACTGATGACCAAACAAATTTTTCGGCGGTCGAGGTGGGGTTGGGTGGTCTGGCGTTAAGTGATAGGGTTTAGATGGTAAATTTTTTGTATAATACAAACAAATTTTTTATTTTTGTTTTTATCATTTTTTAAACATAAATAACTACCTAACATGTTTTATATTTTTTATTTTTATCATAAGAAAAACAAAAATTAGTTCTGCCTTTTTAATAAAAAAAAAAGCGTTTCCAAACAAGTTATAACTTATGCTATGTTTTTTAAATTTAAATTGTACTTGTGATTGATAATTGAGTCGAGCCTTGTGAGCTTAAACCAAGACCGTCGAACTCATTTTTCTAAACGAATTTAAAAATTATTAAAAGGGTTTTTTGGAACCCGATACACCTTATTAGAATTATTTGGTAAAAAGTACATAGAACAAAATGAGAGTTAAAAAGACATAAATACACATTTTAGGGTCATTTAATTTAAAATCTTTCATCTTTAATGCACTTTCATTCATGTATATTTGTTAATATATATATATTTGTTGTTAAAACTCTTATTTAAATTTTGAATTATCTTTAATACACCTTAATTCATGCATATTTTTTTTTTTGAAAAGTGATTTTATTTTCAAATTATATTTTATGCACATTGATTCAAGCGTTTTTTTTTTTGAAAATAGTTTTATTTTCAAATTAATTTAATATCCGAATAATATAATAATATAACAATAACAGTGTAATAATAAAAGTGTAACAAATACACTGTAACAAAGACAGTGTAACAATTACACTGTAATAAAAATAGTGTTCAGTAATTTTGTGTATATAGTAACAAATTCAAAACGGAGATGAACTATTTTGAATAAAATTATATGAAACTATATGTTTGACAAAATGTAATAATACAATATTTTGTGTAAATAGCTTGTTACACTATTATTGTTATACTGTTACATTGTTAGTGTTACACTGTTACACTTTTATTGTTACACTTTTGTTGTTACACTGATATTGTTACACTATTACACTATTCGGATATTAAATTAATTTAAAAATAAAATCACTTTCTAAAAAAAAATACATAAATCAAGGTGCATTAAAAGATAATTCAAAATTTAGATAAGAGATTTAACAACAAGTATATACATACATACATAAGTACTTATATATATATATATATATATATATAAGTTCTCCCATAAAATTAGGAGATGTTTAATGCACCACTTTTCAAAGAAAAATGGTGCATTAAATACACTTGGATTAATGAAGGGAAAAAATATCACAATAAAAATAAATAAATTCAAATTATGTACTTTGATACAATAAGTATCAAAATTAAGTACTTAATAACCCTATATTTTTTAATGTGTATTTTTTGTCAAATAAATCTAATTTGATGTACCTTTTACAATTTACCCTTATTAAAATTCCGCTCGTTGCTGAGTCCAAACTCAAACTGAGCCTAAATAAGTTGATTATTTTACATATAAATGAGCCGCTCTATTATTTAAACTCAACTCATTTGAAAAATAAATCGAATCCGAATCAAATCCAAAACGAACCGAACTTGAGCCGAGCCCAAGTAACTAAATTCAATTATCAGCCGTAACAACCACCACTATTGGAGCCCACCATGCTATGCACGTACTCAAATAACTCGATCCTAAAGGAACCAGAAAGTCTTCCAAGGATTCGACCACTAGAAATTGATGGATGTCTACATTTTATATATTGTGATTAAACAACAAATTGCATGATATAAAATTAAAGATGAAAAAAAATGGGCATGACGATGATGAAGACCGAATTGGTCTGAAAAGCACGAAAAAATTAAGAAGAAAAGAACAAGCTGAATACAAATTCCCTCTGATTTTCAATCTCATCGACAGGGTTCATAAATGAATCTCAAATCTCACAAACATTCTCAAACCATAACAAGATTCACAAAATATTACGCTAATAAGCAACGACCATTAACTTATCTAGCACCGTAGCTTGAAACCTTGAACACTGAACCTATCTTGTCAAGGTTTTTTTTTTTTTTTTTTTTTGGCCACTTATGCATTTTATAAGATTATGAAGTTGTATGTTATTTCCCAGCTCTTTGGTATATACTTGACGTATTGGTCTTTCGTAGATACTTGACGTATTGGTCTTTCCCTACAATGCTGTCAATATGACAAGATCCATTGTAATGCACAAAATATTGCCACCGGTTTTGCTTTATAGTAAGCTCTTGGAGGTAAGATAAATAGGAGCAGAGCAGCTCATTTTACCAGAGAAGGGTGTTTTCAAGATGCTGCGAAATGCCATTGATAAATCAAGTTCGTAGGTTACTTCTAGTCTCAAAGAATTGGCTCCTCTATCTCTTAACTTTGAAACACAAGCAACTGATAGCAAAGGGAACCTTACTTCTGCCACGAAGGTTTCAACCGCTGGGGCATATTCCAAGCATAAGCTAAAACTCTTCCTACTTGCAGACGTAAATACTCGGTAATATAGTTTAAACTTCCCATGTAAAGAGTTTTTTGACCTGTCATGGAGAAAAATTAGGAAAATAATCACCTTTAAGTCTATAAACACAAAACCAGTCTTCTTTGTCATTGCCATAAGCAGGAGAGGGAGAGGAAGGGGGGGGGGGGGATAGCAAGAGAAAAACCTCAACAAGCCCAGAAAATTGCAAAAAGAGTAACTTACTCTAATTTCAAACTTGAAACAAAATTGTGAGACATGAACACGTAGAAAAGTTGTGACATAAAATTGATAGTTGGGAGAGACTGGGAGTGATCAGTAGTATAATTTATAATTTCACTTGGGAGTTTAGGAAATTTAAGGATAGATTAAAGCAGCCAACCTCGAAGTGAATACTGGTCCTGTTTTCCACAGTTGCATCTTAATCCATGCCCTAAGACTCATCTGATTGGATTTGGCAGTTTGTAAGATTAATTTTGGGATTCATTATATTCTAAGGAAAGTTAAATTTTGGCTTGGAAAATGCTTACAAAGTTGAAATTTTCTCTAACTCGTCTAATCTTCTCCTTCTTGGCTTCTCCCCGTTCTTCTCTTTCTTCATCTTCCCTCCCTTCTCTTTCTTATACCTCTTTTTTCCTCATTTTCTCCACTTCTCTGTTTTCTCTCCCTCTTAATTTCTGCCCTATTGGTCCCACATCACATGTGCTGAATGAAAATAATTTTGGAATCTCTGCTGTTACAGATAAAAATGTGGATGTGATCTACGTGTGCGGCAATTGCCTAAATTTTCATGCAAGAAGAAATGTAACACTGAAAAAATACGCAAAGCTTACCTGCTCGAGAGTCAGAAACAAGATGACATTCCAAGACCCTAGCCGACCAAAATTGAGGAGAAATCCCTTATAGAAAGCAGAGGGTCCCTGAAAGTATTAGCCAGCACAAATTCAGTAGTTACTAGACATATGTGATGATTTTCCTGCCAGTATCTCCTCATCCAGAACTAAAATTTCATTCAAGATTAAGTGGATACTTTCTCTTACTCGAAATTACAACGAAGCTCAACTTCGCAAAAACTACAAGTTGTACACATGGTTTCCCCTCTTGTTTATTTTTCTTTTGCATAGTACTTTGCCTTTTCTTTGTGTAAGTGTGTGCCATTGCACATGGGGAAAAAGGGGACAGTTGCTCTAAAAAGAAGAACACACACACACAGACAGAGCTTATATGTGCTACTAGTGCACGTGCAAACAAATGTACCTTAAAGGATAAGATGACTCATAATAGGAAATCTACACAAGCCCAATCTATTTATATCATTATATTAACTGCTCATGAGTTATTATCAGAAGAGTCGGGATATACACTCACATTTTCATATAGAAGTAAGCCAATAGACAAGGCCTTCAACATTTTAAAGCCACTTCCACAAAACTCATCATAGATGGAGTAATATGAAGGTGCCACCATAGCAAAAAAGATGAGATAAATGTAGCAATAGAAGTAGAAATTTAAACAGAGGTGGTGATGTGAGACCTGAAGCATTTACAAGAAATGAAATAGTAAAGTTCTCTCTCCTGGAAATAACGGCCAACACTATAAAGTAAATTTTATAGTGTAAGTCACAATTTCAGAACTTCAAAGAGACACACCTCAATCTGCAAAGTTTTAACGAAACAATCTAAGGTGCTTTTGTATATTGAATCTCCCATCATTCTAGATTTCACCTGGAAAATAACAGGCATACAAGTGGACATTGGGTGAGTACCATGCATCAAGAATTTCAATTATATTGCTTGTATAATCACAAACATTATTCACCACAACTTTAAACTGGAAAAGTTAGCTATGGCCTGAAATCATCGATTCAGCTTATGATATTATGGAATCAGGATGAAAATCTTGGAACAATAGAGAGGACAAATATAGAGATTATTTGGTAGTAAGATGTTACATGCACTTTCCGAAAAAAATGTTACATGCAAAATAATTTAGGTACTAGCTTTGTCGTAATCCCTCAAAAACAAGTCCAATACATAAGGTCGAATGTCCTATTTAAAACCTTTAAAGATCAGCAAGCAGTTTAAATAATTCAAGTGAGGAGAGTTACCACGTCAACAGGAGAACCGACACAAACTGCGAAGAACCCAGCACCCATGCCAGCTAATAAATGGGTCAAAATATTGTCTGTGAACCCTGGAATTTTCAATATTGTCTGCATAAAAGTAACAAATTAGAGACCTAAATAACCATTTAGACCTTGCAACTACGAGAATTCCCAAGCAAGAGAGTCAAATTTATGAGGTACCTGTTTCACTTGATCATAAGTAGCCAGTTCCGCAGCATTTATAATAGCATTTCGTGCAATATTGGGCCCTAGCCCAGTCCACAAAGCTGCCAATCCTTCCTATTTCATTGTCTAAACTTATAATGAAATGAATAAACAGCTAACATTATACTGCCCCAATATGTGTCAGAGAACTCACCTGTTTCACTATGGTGTGATAAGCATCCAAGGCCCCAGAATAAAGCCTAGGTACTCCAGGTGGCAATTTACCTTCTGCTTGAAGGCGAACTTTCACAAGATCAGTTGGATTAGCCACTGCAATTGCTAGAGCACCTGTTTGGTGAGAAAAATCCCCACTTAAAATAAGAAGGAAGACTAGCAGTCCCTATATGCTGTTTTGGCACATTTATATCAGCAAACAAGGAGTGAGTGCAACTTTTAAGCCTAATCTTAGTCATCCACTGAAAAATTACATCTGCACACTATTATAAAAAATTAGCAGAACGTCGTCACCAAATTTACTAACCAGTTATCATTGCAGCAAGTATTTTGTTGAATAAGGAAACATCTCCAACATGACTGCTTCCAACCAAAAAGGCTTTAACCTATGCAATGTGCATTTATGCATGCACGTCAATAAATCATCATGAATGCACAAAATATTCAAAAGAACAAGGGATACTCAATACCCACTGGCTCATACAACCCAATCCTTAAACCTCCATAGAGACACTGGCGATGTAATCCAGGTATTACTCCTTTCCAAAGTGCTAATAACCCTTCTTCCCTAGCAATAGTAGCAATCGTACCCAACATACCCTTGTACTTAGATGCTCCTGCCTCTTCCCCTGAAGCTGTTCTCTTTTGTAGCTGAAGCCTAACTTTAGCAGTGTCTAGAGGAATAGTACAGAACTGCCAAAAATAACACTTCAATATGTCATATATTCGAAATGCAATCACCATAGATAAGCAATTTCATTCACACTGTTGAAGGGATAAATGCTGCACGTCTAGTTAGTTCTATCATAATTGTCACAGCATATAAGTTCCAACAAAAAATTGTTAGTGTCAATCTAGTCAGACAGTTCACAGAAAATCAATATAAGTAGAACCCATATTTGGCTATTGGGGCTCATTTACCTGGAACGGAGTTTCAACTTCTACATGTTCAACAAAGAGAAATGAAGAAATAAACAGGTCAAGACATGAAAAGGCAAAACTTGCATTGGAGTGGTTAGAACCAGATTATGAAATAGGAATTGCAGTGATGCAGTAACATATAAAATGTAATTAAAAGATGTATATATTTCCCACTGAAAGATATTTTGGTATAAATTTCTTAAACTTTGACTGCACCCAATTCCCAAGTCCAGATCCTCACTAAACCTATAACATGAATTGGGAATATGAGCTGCTATAATACTTAGATTATACCCCTCCCAGCCCCTCGCATGACTCTTTTTTTTCCATTAGGAAATGCTGATGGACGTTGTTCCATATGAACAGCATCTGGTCCACTAGTTGAAGAGTCCACATAGGATGACTGCTTAAGCTGCAATTGGAAGCACATAATCCATGTCTTGAATTTAGACTTGGAGCACCTACTTAAAATTTAACTAATATAGCCTCCGAGTTAAATTTCACATTGCGTCCATGCTACCAAAAACAGCTTCTGTATTGACTTTGCCATCGTGGAATTGATACTCTTGGAAATGTAATGGTGAATTGCCGTAAATGCGCATCTACAATTTCCCAAGAATACGATTCACGGAGTATTATTCAATGCAAAATACAACATTTCTCACACACACACACGCACATACATCAACATATAGAAAGAATTGGCTCAAATTTTAACCATTAAGCAATTGGTGTAACCGTGTAAGCATGAAATTCGAAGTGAACTGCAAACCAAAAGCAGCACTGGGTAACACGATGCAGATCAATTGCTCATTGAACCAGAACCAGACCAAAGAATGGTTGAATTCGAACAATGCCTAAAAATGAGCTCGAAATTATCGCTTGTTACAAATAATCCAACTAAATTCTGATTACAACGTTTGACGTAATAACAATAGATCCAAAATAACAAGTACCTCAGCAAAACAAGCCGCCAAAGCACTGCAAAAGAAAATTCCGGGGAATGAGATCTCAGTCGCCATTGGAGGCAACTAACAATGCGATTGGTTGAAGATCAGTGGATCTGAGTGAAGAATGTGGTTAGGGTTTTTATAAGTGTCTAGTGATGAAGAAGAGTAATTATGAAGTAAAGGGCATAGTACAAACCTCCTTCGTTTATGGAAGAGATGCAGTCTGAAACTGCACAGACCCGAATCATAGGTCCTACGATCCGAGTTCGTTTAAAATTTAGGGTAAATGCACTTTGGACCCCAAACGATACACAAATTTTCAATTTCTACCCTTAAAGATTATTACTCAAATTTTTATATTGTTGTCACTATCTAAGGGGTGTTTTCTCTATGACACAAATGCATGAAACATTAAAATTCAAGTGGTCCTTACATCATTCCTGAAAAGTACGAGGTGATCTATATAATTAGTGAAAATACTCGGATAAATTAATAGCCGCTTTATATAATTTAGTGTCCAATCATTAGCTATTGTCAACAATTATGTTTTAAGTAAATTAAAACAATTGAAGAAGCCTTTTTATCTGAACTGGTGAAGGCCTCATCCAGCACATTCTGAGTTTTTTTTTTTTTTTGGGGCTTAGAGGATAATTGAAGTTATAAAAACTAATTTATTCTTAATAATACATTTAGTGATATTAAAAAATAGACAATAGCATAGAACAGTAATATGAAAATTTCACATTCCAATTTGAACGTAGAGATATAAATAAATATAAACAGTGATATTGGACATTGACATAAAAAAATTTACCGTCAAATTATAATGACCACGATAAACATTTTTGTTACTTATTTTTCTCTCTGATTCTTTCGATTCTACCAACATCAGTTGTCAATTGTATCATAACCGCACCTCCAACCAACGTCGCATCCTCCTTACATCATTATCGCAACAACCTCATCTATGCAAAACAAGGGAAGCATCCCTAATAGCCATTCGATGAGGAAGCAGATAGCATATCAGAACCTTCAAAATTGTTCATGGTTTGTGGGAAGTCCGTCTCATGCTTTAGTGACCGATTTAACGGCCCCATATTGATCTTTGGGCTAATTACCCACACATGTAGCCCAGGTACAAGGCCCACAATATCCAACTGTTCTAAATTATGGCGGGAATTTTGTCATTTCCATTTGTAGCCCTCCCGCCAATAAAGCCCTAGCTTTCCAAACTCGGCCCACTCATATTATAAGAGTCAACCCTTTTTCTCACACTCAATTTTCCCACTCTTTTCTTTCGATTTCATTTTGAAACCCTAGCCCTAATACTTTCCCGGAAAACCCTCGAAACTTTCCCGGAAAAACTCAACCAACCCAAACCAACTGAGAAAATGTTGGAACTCAGGCTTGTTCAAGGCAGCCTTCTGAAGAAGGTTCTGGAAGCCATCAAGGACTTGGTGAACGATGCCAACTTCGACTGCTCGGCCACTGGGTTTTCTCTGCAGGCCATGGACTCGAGCCACGTGGCGCTGGTGTCTCTGTTACTGAGATCGGAGGGGTTTGAGCACTACCGATGTGACCGTAACATTTCCATGGGGATGAGTTTGAGCAATATGGCTAAGATTCTGAAGTGTGCTGGGAATGATGATATTATTACTATTAAGGGTGATGATGGGAGCGATACTGTTACCTTCATGTTCGAAAGCCCCAGTAAGTTTAGTTTAATATTTAGTTGTTTTTTAATCTGATTTCTTTTTTGTTAGGCTGGAATTTTGGGTTTTTCTGGGTTTTTTTGGGTTTTTTTTGGCTCTAGTACTGGAAATTTCTTGTCGTCTTGTGGAAAATTTGATTTTGGTTTGATTGATTGGTCTTTGAATTATGTTTAATTTTTCTCCTTTTGTTGTTTGTTATATTTGTGAATTTTTTATGGAGAAAAAATTGATGTGTTTGGTTGCTGGAAAATGATTTGGAAAAAATAAGAAATAAAAAATTGAAGTGCTTCATTGATTAGTTCATTCACCATGGAAAAAGGAATTTGTTCTTCAATCTTTAGAACTAAAAAGGGGATTTGGCTAACCTTTGTTAGTTAGTTTGGGATATTTGTTTAAATTGCGTGTTTTTCCTGTGTTGTGGTATGATGTTTCTACGTCTGGTTTATAATTTTGCTGATGTTGTTTTGATTTCCTTGGGTTGTATGTGATGGAATGATTCAGCACAAGATAAGATTGCGGATTTTGAGATGAAGCTTATGGATATCGATAGTGAGCACCTAGGAATTCCCGAGGCAGAGTTCCATGCTATTGTTCGTATGCCTTCGTCTGAGTTTGCAAGAATTTGTAAAGATCTCAGCAGCATTGGTGATACTGGTATTACATTGGTGGTGTATTGTCTTCCTGTAATTTGTTAGTTATAGGCATTTCCTGGAGTCTATTAATGAATGGGTTCGAGTTGGTAAATTTTGGATTAATTGTTGCTTGCAGTTGTGATCTCTGTGACAAAGGAAGGAGTAAAGTTCTCAACAAGAGGTGATATCGGAACTGCTAATATTGTCTGCCGGCAAAATACCACAGTAGACAAGGTATTTTCCTTGGGCCTTATGTATTCTGTATGTTAAATGAATTGTGTTTTTAATGGATTTGATATATATCTGTTTTATAATTTGCAGCCAGAGGAAGCTACAACTATCGAGATGAACGAGCCAGTGTCATTGACATTTGCCCTAAGGTACATGAACTCTTTCACCAAGGCGACTCCACTGTCAAACACGGTTACCATCAGCTTGTCTTCTGAGCTTCCTGTTGTGGTCGAGTACAAGATTGCTGAGATGGGTTATCTCAGGTTCTACTTGGCTCCTAAGATTGAAGAGGATGATGAGGAGACAAAGCCATAAGTTAAAATGTTCAGCATTTTATTTTCAACTGATAGCTTTGTTTGTTCTTGTACTGAACGGTACCTGTAGCAAAAATGTTTTTCTTATACTTGTGTTTATTTGAGGACTCTACATGTGCAAGCAAGCAATTCGAGTGATCAAGTCAACCAAGTTAAAGATAATGAAAAGAATTTTTTTTTCTTTTTTTAAAAAAATGGGAAAACCAACAAATTCTCAAACCTACGTATCCAAAATTTTATTTTTGAACAATTCGTATGTATCATGTAGCTCAGCGTTTTTCAAATTTGGATTTTCAACCAAATTGCAAGGCCCTTGTGCCATGTCTGAGAAGAGGCTGATTCATGTAATTGCAAATAACACAGGTGGTGAGGTTGCGCTGAAGCATCCTGGATCAACTGCTTTTCTATAGTAAAATAAAAAAAAAGGTTGCATTCCCAAATCTCGTATCATCAAATAATACACTCAAATTTTCAGAAATTTGGCTTACAAGAAAAACAAAATGCAATCTCACTCAACAAAAGCCCCGCAACTATCAACAAAACTGCAACTTACTTGCATATCAAAGTCTATGTGAAAAGAAACATTGAGACAACAGCTACTACATTGGTAAGCTTCAGATAACTGAAGTTCTCAAGAAGAAAAAATGGGAACAAAAACATGAGATCAAGACTGTCTCCAATCCTCACCAGCATACACTGCTTGGTCACCGATCTCTTCTTCAATTCTAAGCAGCTGCAGAAAAATTTTGCCTGTTAATTTGAATTTCCAGTTCATTTCTTCAACAAACGAGATATTGGGATGCTGAGACTAGGAAGTTAATGACCATGCGCATAAATTATTATATATATATATGCTGAGTAAGTAATCATGGTTCATAGATGTTTTAGAGTAATCAGGCCCTAGATGGAGCTAAATGCCAAAAAAAATTCCTGTCCCCGAACCAGGCTTTGTTGAGTCGTGGGCGTTCTTTAAGAGTAATCTCTAGACATGAAGGCATGTTGTGTGCTACTTGATTTGGAGGTTTTTAACACTAAAAAAATAAAAAAAATTCAAGGAAACCATGAAAAGCACCTGCCAACAAGGAAAACGAGAAAATAGAGTGAGGCAAAGAAGCAAAATTAGGATCATTCCACAAACTATAAAGTTAAACAAGTGGCATTTGGAATAAGATCAAGAGATCATTGGATTCATCGAATATCTAGCCGACAGGATGTTTGGACTCAAATACTTGCACGTAAGTTGTAGGAATTCAACACTGCTCTTCGTGAACCTCTATAATAATGGTGAATGTAGCCATATTAGTAACATGAAATTGTAAACAGGAAAGGTAAGTTCTCATGCAGCTTGTGCTATCGCGTCATGTTGCTCCCACAAATTTAATACTACAAAAGGCAATTACTAGATCAAATCATGTTGACAGCTTTATTTTATGTCCAGATTTTCAATTTACGTTAAGCTGAATGTTGGTAAAAGTTGTCTCCCCATTATCCATATGTGAGTTTAGCTTTTTGTCCCTTGTGAATACATATTAAGATCAATTTTCATGCTCTCAAACCCCATCCAAGAAAGAAAAGAAAAGAGAGTGATCTAGATTTGAGTTAAAAAAGCTAATATGTCTATCAAAGAATTGTAAATGCACTCTATG